CGTGCGCACGGGTGCCGAGCCATCCAGAAGCGCTGTCATCCAAAATCTGACTGGAACTACACAGTCGTTGCCCCGGGCCCTCGAGTTGAGACCAGCGGTCAGGGCTTCCGCCCGGTTCCATCCCTGGTCATCATCGCCGCAGCCTAATGTCGATTGCTTGGCCATAACATCACTCAGAGGAGGAAGTTGTCAACGGGTCGAGGATGGGGGAACAAGGGACCTCCCAGCGTGTCACCGCACTAACAGGAACCACACCAAGCGATGAACGATGCCCCAGCCCATCTGTTGCTGCCCCGGGCTTCGCCTGCTTCAGAGAGGATACTGAGGAGAGGGTGGCCACTGATCAGCAGCGTCCAAGAGGGCTGATCGCGGTAGACAAGAAAACCGCAGTGGTAGAAAAGGTCTGAAACTGGGCTGTGACGAGGGAGACGCGTAGGAGTGGCCCACTAGTCTAAGTGAATGCCGTGTCACAGAGGCTCGCCTACGGCTCGGACGGGCGTAGATCATACAGCAAGCCGCTCGCTATGAGCATGTTCCGGTAGCAAAGTCAGCAGGGAAGCGGGTTTTAACGTCTGAACCCCAGTGTTGCCAAGTCTGCACCCCGGTGTACCTTATTGTGAAGCTTAGCCAGAGGCTGGGGATGCTGGATTCCTCGCGTGGGATGTGGGAGAGTCCAGAACCGGCCTTTTCCCTGACGGCCTCGACGGCACAGCTTCGACGGGATGAAGGTGTTCGGACCAGAGGCGTTCCCGTCTAGGAGGCGTTTCGAAACCAGCCAACCCCTGTGGTGTAGATGTCAGGGGCAGTGTGACGCAGGAAAATCATTTGGGCGGCCCGTCATATTTTTAGTCGGATCGTCAGTCGCTGCTTATGTAAGGCACGGTTTGCATTCCTCGGGCACAGCACAAAACTTGTGCATGTGTTATGCTTCATAGCACAGGCACAATCTTATGCCACCCGTATCCAGCTGCATCAAATCGCGGGGTTCGTTATCGGAAGTGGGGTTCACCTGGAGTGATCCCAAGGCCCCCTCTCAGCCCAGTGACATGCCATTCCTCCAGCTACCCGTACCTAACTGACAATCTACCTATCCTCCCCCATTCCAACCTAAGCTTCTTCTCCAACCTCCAACGTGCCAGACTGCCCATCTCCGCTATCTCACGCTGCTGCTGACCCTGTGCGACCGTTCTGCGGACGCTGTGAAGCTCTTTGCTACTTCCCCAAACAACACGCCACTTCGCCACATTCCTCCCTTTGAAACGAGCTCATGGCGACTGTGGGACACTGCCTGTACTGCTTCGAGGCGCTGGCTTCGCACCTGGAAAAGCGGCGGGGTATTTCCCTCAAAGAGATCCAGCAATCATGGCCCGAGTACGCAAAGACCCTGTCGTCCGGCCTCGGTGACGGCAAGGATGCCTCCAAGAAGCTCCTCCCGGCCCTGCAACGCCTCGCCGAGCCCGCCAGCGACTCAGGCTCCGCCTCCTCCGGCTCCAGCCTTTCGCTGCCGGCAGAGACCCCCGAGACATCCGTTGACTCCCTCGCCGATGCCGACGACGACGATGTCATCACCGAGTCCCCGCTCTTCGTCACCTGGAACACGGTCTCACCACGCTCGGGCCACCGCTCGCTGCGGGGATGCATCGGCACCTTTGAGCCGCAGGAGCTCGAGGACGGCCTGTCGAGCTACAGCTTGACGTCGGCGCTGCACGACATGCGATTCCCGCCCGTCGAGACGTCGGAGCTGCCCTCGCTCGAGGTCGCCGTGACCCTGCTGACCGACTTTGAGGACGCTGACGACGCCATGGACTGGACGCTCGGTGTGCATGGCCTGCGCATCAGCTTCTTCTACCACGGCAAGCGGTACGGCGCGACCTACCTCCCCGACGTCGCCGTCGAGCAGGAGTGGACCAAGGAGGAGACGCTCGTGAGCCTCATGCGCAAGGCCGGATGGATGGGCCGCAAGGATAAGTGGCAGGAGGTCGAGCTCAAGGTTGTGCGATACCAGGGCAAGAAGGAGTCGCTGGAGTATGCCGAATACAAGAAGTGGTACGACTGGTACAAGAACAACAAGACCAAGTCCGGCTGAGGCCCGGCTGGTCTTTCATGACGGGACATGACGGGCGTTACTGGGACACGGGTACATTTTGGTGGTATACGGACAGGATAGAGGCGTGGTCTCCTTCGGATAGAAGAGGATAGCCCTGAGTTAATACAATTATCATGACTACTCGATGGGACGAATGTGCGTATACAACATGGCTCCTGCCGTCTTTTTGTTTGGTTGGCTCTTTGCATTGAAAACGCCGCCGCTGCTATGTCTTTGCGAATTATGGACAGAAAATATCTCGCATCAAATCATCGTCGTGTCGTTAAATTCCATTTCGCCGTATGCCATGTCCTAGGCCAGTCGCTTTGATGGCTTCCCAATACATGAAGCCTCGACAGATCATCTAATACCTGGTCCTGCTACGACTGGATCGGTATACTGCAGCCGGGGGCCTTGGTGAAGCGCTCGGCCTCCTCTTCTCGTACACAACAGGCTGCGCGTATCGGACCTCTTCGACCTCATACGAAGGTCGGCGCGAACGAGACGTCTCGTGGTGGTAGCGGTGCTGGCGCCTCCTGTGATGGCGTGCGCCGGGAGACCTGCCGCGGTACTTGCGGTCATACTTGCGGTCGTATTCGTCCGGCTCACCCCACGAGTTTGGCCTTTTCCAGAGGCCGCAGGACTTGAGGATCCATAGGAGGATGAGGAAGCCCGCGATGGAGCCGATGACGATGCCGGCGATGGCGCCGCCGCTGAGGTTGTTGTTTGATGCGCTCTCCGCGGTCGTCTCCGGGGTGGATGTGATGGTGACGACGACCTGGCGGGCGTCGAAGGTTCTCGTCGGGTTTTCTTGCGAGGATGCCGCGCGGGGGATGAGGCCGGCGAGGGCGTTGAAAGCTGGTGTTACTGGCGCCATTGTCGTGACTTGACGGCGAGGCAGAGAGAGAGAGAGAGACGGCCGATGAGGGAGGCGGAAGAGCAGACGAGAGAGATACTACGGCACCAGAGACGGGACGGGACGGGAGCAGCAATGGAAATACTACAGCAATGATTGATAAATGACGCCAATCCCCGTCTTAAAGGGAGCATCGAAAAGGAAGAATGGCCTGGTCGAGGGCTCGACTAACACCTCGGCCGAGGGATGGGGCTGGGGACTGCAAGTCATGGCATCGATGTGACAAGCAGGGGTAAGGATGTCAAGAACGGGCCAGTCATGTCGACGATGTTGGGTGATATGGCGCCGTGTAAGTGTGGGTGGGAACGCGGAAATGGAAATTTCTTGGACGAATCCCCCTCACGGCAAGGTAGATGTTGGACTCTTGCAGGTCTGCAGCCTTGTCTCTGCGCATCTTTTACAGCCTGTATCCCGGCATTGATGGGATTCAAGCTGCAGGAAACACGAGGGATCCGGTTCCACATGTCCTCGATCGCCGTCTTGATGCTTATTTATCGACCGAATCATCTCACAAGGGAGACGTATTGCTTTGTGTTGGTGGAAGTGGTGGCCCCCTCCCTCGGCTCTTGACAAAGGCGCAAATGCGAGAATTTTGCGTTCCTTGCTTGTGCATCGGCCGAGGATAGAGCCCCCACGGCAACCGGGGACCAAGCAGCGGGCTAGCAAAGTTGGCGAGGCCGGCTAGAGAGTTATTCGCGATGTGACTCAGTGGGAAGAAGTTGTGGGTGGAGCTGCGAGCTTCCCATCACCTTTACGTCACTGGCTGAGCTGCTTTTCCCACCTCAGAGGCGGGTGGTTGGGAAACACCCCCGAAAATGCCGCCAAATGCGCCGTGGCCATTGGCTAATAATGCTCCGCACTCATTTGCGTTTACGTTACCCGAAACCCCTGTCGCAGTTGGGGGCTAAAACGGCTTTTTTTCAACGTAGTGGCCAAAAAAGCCCCTTTTTTAGTAGAAAAAACTAGAAAAAGCTATTAATTACGTAACGCGTAGCGTATATGCCTGAATAAAAAAGATACTTCTAGAATTAGCGAAATTAGGGCTATTAATTAGTATACTTTTTAGTTAAGCGTATTACTATTTTAAAAAGTCGATTTTTCTACGTTTATTCTTAATTAAAAACGTATTATTAATTAAAAATAGAGTTTTTTATTATTTTCTGCTTATTTTTAGCTTAAAAATAAACTTCTTAAAAACTCTATATACCTAATTAAAAAGTATACTAATTAATAGCTCTAATTTCACTAATTTTAGAGGTATCTTTTTTATTTAGGCGTATACGCTGCGCGTTGCGCAATTATCGAAAAAGAGGTCAATTAAAGTCGAAAAAAAGCCCGTGTGAGGGGCGATAAATGCCACATTTGCAGGGGTTTCAGGTAACGCAAACGCAAATGAGTGCGGACGTCGCTGTCCGGCAGTGCTGGAAGGAACCTCGGGGAGAGGCCCCACCCGCACCAAGCTGCCGTCCACCACACCATCTCATTCTCTAGTGTTCTCGCTGTCAATCTTGATCAAGGATGGCCCTTTTCTGCGGGTTTTCGCTGTCTTTTGCACTTTGCCATCTTGCCTTTGGTTGGCCCCGTTCCTGAGGCTAGAACGCATGTCTTTGATCTCGATCTTTGTGGCGGATTGTCGGTTGGGTGAGACAGACACCCGTCCCCCCTCCACGACGAAGGGCATAATTCAGCTGGTTGGAACAGTTGCATTCGACCGCTGGTCAGCCCGGGCTTGGTTGCAGTGGGCGTTTTGAAATCTGTGAGTGTCGGTCGAGGATATGTGTCAAGAGTCTCTTCATTACGACCTCGCTCGAGCATGTCGAGTCATGGCATCGACGCCGTCTTTAGTACCGGCCATCCGCTATCGAGACCGCCATTCGTAACGGGACCTCCGCTGCCGGCGGAATGGCACAAGCCCGTGGTGTGGAACCCAATCGGCATCTTCATGAATGTCTTCGGACTCTACATTGATCCATTGTATCGTCCCAAGTGTTCGTCGCCTTATTTTACCCTTCCCCTCCATGTAAAGTGCCCTTTGGGATCAGCTGCTAGCTTTTGCATCGCCTCAACATCTGCCGTCCCTGGCCCATTCTCCATTAACCCGGCCTCCACCGCCAACTTTGCATACTTGACGGACTGCTTCGCATGCCCGAGCAGGTTGAAATTGAGCGCTGCGATGGTATAGGCGCCCGCGAGCTTCGACTCTAGCCTCTCCTCCTTGTGTAGCTTCAGAAACTTCTCAATGAGCGCGGTCGTCACCCTGGCGTTGATATCCGAAAGCGTCCTATCAATTTCCTGGATATCCATCAACCGCTGATCAGACGCCGCCGCCTGCTTCTTCGCCAGACTGCACTGCGAGCACCCGCACTCGAATCCCCACGCCAGCTTCGCGCGGTGTTGTCTCTCGGACCGCACGCCCAGCTGGTCGAGGTACGATATCGTGAGCTCCTCGCCCGACTTCACCGGCCGCACGACCGTGGTCCGGTGACGTCCGTCGGCGCCGATGTGGAAGGCGACGTTGGGCCGGCAGTCGTGGTTGTACCGTGACACTTCGGGGTAGTTGCCGTAATGGTGGCCGTCGCCCTGAGCTCCCCCGCCGAGGTCCATCTGGAACGAGTTGGTCTGCATGATGTCGACGACTTTGTGGCCGCCAAAGTGGCCCATCTGGCCGAGGAACGTCTCTCGTGTTGATGCCGGAAGAAGCTGCGCTACGGAGTCGAGGAGACGGTGCTGTTCTACCGGCGATGTCCGTTCGATGAACGCACGATGGGCGATGAGGACTGGCGTTTTCAGCATGACTGTGTCCCCTCGGGCGAGGGACTTGTTGGCGATCATGCCCAGCCCCTTACCCTCAACCTCGGTGACGCGAAAAGATGGTTTTGAGGCACTCGGATCATCCGCGATCTGGAATTTTGCCTCCGCATCCTTCAACTTTTGCACATTTTCTGGCGTCGAGATGATGACCACCCCTCGTCCGGCCGCAGAGCCCCGGCTAGCGTATAAGCAGTAGTTGCCCGCGCATCCATGCGGTCCGGTCCACCCTAGAGGCTCATTTTGCCTCGTGTTATTCTGTGAACTCCGTTCAGAGTGATTTTCTGTTTTCGCAATATCCCATGGTGAACACTCCAACAGCGACTCTTCCAGGGGGGTCCAGGGGCAGATTCGCGACCCCCGAAGCTGCGCTTGGGCCTCGGGCGCGGCGGCGGAGCAAGATGCCAAGGCGAGAGATATTATTGCTAACGAGGAAAACATGATGGAAAAGTGATGAATAGATTTCCCATTGATTTTCTCTGGGAACACAATGGTTTTGCTTCAGATGAAATGAAGTGACGTTAAAGTAGCCGGTCAAAACATGGGATGAAGTTTGCCGTTCTTTCGTACCAAGACAGCTCCACTCGTTTCACACACGATGCTGAAACCTGAGTGGACGAGAGATCAGCGAAACGAGGCGGTTGGATGGCTTGTCGTCGTCTCATCTTTTCTTGGGACGCCGCGGTCGTTGGGCGTCCGTCTTGTCAGGAGAAAGTCAAAACTGACACCTGCGGTGGAAATGCGGAGGCTTGGCGACAAAGTCGCGAACACCGAAGATTCAACTAAGTGATCTGGGCCAACCAAATCGAAATATTGGGTTGCATTGGAACAAGGTGGGAATATAAAATATTTTCGACATTCTATACGAAATGTCTCCTCAAGCATTCATTGCAGTGACTCTCATCGACACTACATGTTCCCGCAAAGTCATCAATCTTGTTGACATCTCGCAAGAGACTGCAAATTTCCACCTGTCAGTAAGCTTCGACTTTAGGCGATCGACAAGACGTGCCGACTGTTTTGCTTTGTCTTCGAGTAGCACCTTGGCTGGCAGCTCAGTATTCTGCCTGCAAAGAGGCTTCCATCCATGACCGTTTGCTGCCGTGGCTGCGTTGTAAAGCTCAGTTTGGTATGTCGAAGTTGCCAGACACATTGCAGGTTGGTCTAGACAGCCTTCCAGGAACCACGTAAACAGACAAAAGTCCTGACCTGTGGAGTTCCACTCCGGGGACGCGTCGGCCATCAAAACAATCTTGAAGCGCACGAACTCGTGAAAGTTTCTCAACCCTCCAGTCGAGAAACCTCGTCTATCAGGATCCCAAAGCTCCCAGGGTGATGCGTCGACGAGCTCCAGTCGTGCGGGGACAGCTACACCGATAATTCGAACGTCTCTAGGAAAAACAATGCTTCCATGGGATCCCTCGATGGTGCGTGATTGCCGTGGGTTCAGATGCCTCCTGATCAACAAACGAGTGTTTGGTTTAGGGTTTATACGGTGCAGCCGCGACGCCAATTGTACGAAGGGACTTGATCTCACTAGAGTACCATCTCCTTGGTCCCTGAGCAGAATGCAAAGGTTTCCACTTTCACTGCCCTCTCTCAGACGACATCCAAGTTCCATAAACATTTCCTGCCAATCGTGTTGAGAACCGAAAACCTCAGTTTCGATCCGCAAGCCTTTATTCGTCATGGTGTACTGGAAAGCTCATCAGTACAGGGTACTGATTGCAGGAGCATACCTGCCGGCAAAGAACATGTGCAAGTGTATCTGATTCAGTCTAAATCAACATACCTCAACTGAAGTCTTCTCTGGTGCTTTTTCGAGTGTCTTGGCAAAAGCAAACATATTAGGTGAGGTTGCTAGAATACCAAAGTAAACTTGCGGTATCTGGCTAAGACCGGCAGTCTTGCTGTGGCTCCAGGCAAATATCGACGTATCGTGGGTCTCTTTGATGATTTCTTCTTGCAGTCGAATGAAAGCCCTTGAACCCTCGCCATAAAGAAGCGGCATATTCACTCCGAAGACGCCCAGAAGACAGTACGCAAGATCTTCCTCCCTAGTGGTAATTCGGTCGGCTGCCCAGGACATACGACGCGCGATGGGAATGTCAGGAAGCATATCCTCGACAGACTCAGTCACATTGGTCAGAAATTCCTTATCGATTCCGGTTATTTCTTGAAGTTCGTCGCTAAGATCAGCTCTTGTGCCTAGAAACTTCCAATCCACGTCGTAGAACTCGACTGAAGACGGGGCAATGAGTTCTTGTAAGGTCCACCCGCGTGTGAACCAGCGCGAGTCCTGAAGGCGTGTTGTTCTAGCGCCTCCGACGTCTGCTAGGTAGGCGTAACATATTGTTGACCTTGCGTACCATTTGAACATGGAATTGATCGCTTCAACCAGCTCTGTGAAGTTCGTTTTGTCGATACAACAAGTGTCAACCCAAGCGTACGAGTAGCCCTGTTCGAGAGCTAGACGGCATGTCTGGTTGATTTTTGCCCAGCCTGGCTTGCTGGCCATAGCCTCGGTATTGCCGACGTCTTGAAAGCTAGCCTCGCCGGATTCCCAAGTATGGGACAAAATCGCGTACTTTTCGGGAATTGATGATCCATAGTACTCTTCGATTTCAAGGCTAGTACAGTTGAGTAGTTTCATGGCGTTCGAGTGTGTCCACAAAGGGTAAATGCGGCGGACTTCTTCACTTAGCACGGATATTCGATGGCTGGGGAAGATAAAAGGTGCCCAACGGTCTGCTCGCGATGCAGCCATGGCATATGATCAGATGCCTAGCTAGGCGGTAAGGCGGCACAGCATAGCTTGGCTGTCTCATTTGCCGCTGCAATGCAGTGTGACGAAAAAGCTGTCGGCAGGCCTAGCGAGGCTTGCCTGCCGTGAGACTGCATCAACATGCAGGAGCCGGTAAGGCATCACAGACCGCAATGCAAACTTCAAAAAATAGGCAGTGAGAGGCTGGGCGGGCTGTTTCAATGGCCTCTAATTGTGAATTCCGAGTGGTCCTGCAGCCTCAATAATATGTACATGTTCAAGCCGTCTCGGCTACTTGAGCTGCGTCCTCCAGAACCGTTGCCATATCTCATACGCATCGAATCCAGGAACCAATGTGACCAGAATGCCATAGTGATAGTGCTTGGCTGCGTCTTACGCTGAGAAGTTAAGGGCTCCGCTTCGAAGCCATGCGCTGCTGCCGTTTGGCGAGGATTCTAAATGACTCTGTCGCTCGTTGTGCCCAATAAACTCTCCAGTTCTGGCGATTTGGTAATTTGGCTGCCGTGACTGAATGTCGGTATTCATTTTGGACTCTCAGGATGAGGACTCTTGCGCTTGAGATTCTCCCTCTTTGGACTGTCCACCTGCAGGCTCTCATTCGGCTTTTCTCTTGAAATCTCCTTTGGAACCTCTTTTTTTGACGCTGGCTTTCTCCCGTAGACCGAATATCCATACCAATACGCATGGACACCCAGATTTTTGACATCCTGCCTTACTTGGGAACCGAAAATAATGACCTCGGCAGGCTTCCAACCCATCACGCGGGTCAGCAACGCCATCGCCATACCCTCGATCCCGGGAAGCAAGGAAGCCTGCACCCAGCTGCCGATCTCCTGTAACCTCGGATCTTCGGGCCATGGCGACGCTGGCATCTTCTGCTTCGTAACCGTCACGTTCTCGAAGCCAACCCGCTGGAGGATGCCCTCAAATTCTGACGTGATGGTGAGGGAACGGCCCATCCGCGCAATGGCCTCGCACAGAAGAGACGACCACTTGTACAGGGCGTGGTCCTCCGTTAAGGTTCCGTCGTCGCATGCGACCGGGTAGAGATTGTCGTGGATTTCAAAGTATCCGCCAGGCTCCAAGTTCTCAAAGGCTTGCTTGGCAATCCATTCCCAGTCGTTGAAGCAGCCGATCATGTTGCGGGAAAAGACAAAGTCGAATTTCTCAGGCCACGCCCACTCTTTTTCGAGGTCGTCGATTTCAAACTGGCAATTGGGCGGAACATATTCGGGCTGAATAGGGCTCAGATCTACGCCGATGACTGTGGCGGTAGGGTGTTCATCAGCGTAGTCCAATGCCCAAATGCCCGTTCCAGTTCCAAGGTCGAGCACTCTCTTGGCGCCGTTCTTCTTGGGGCACAAGCAGAGCTGCCCATCCCACACGACAGTCCACATGTGGTTCGCAATGTCCAGGCGTTCCTGCTCGAGGTCGTCATTCGGGAGGACGTAGTGACCGTCACTGAAGCGGTGGTAGGTGCGTCCATTTTCCCTGCGGTAGTCGAGGATACTGGCTTTCAGCGATGCGGTGGAAGCTCCATCGTCATCGTCGTCATGTTCCGGTTGGGTGTAGTACGGGATCTCGAACCTGAAGTCGTGGTCGGAGCCCGCTCCGAAGGCAACAGCCTGAGCTTCGGGTTGGGTCTCGAATTGACCGTCAGGCTGAGTCTCACCGTGGGACTCGGGCTGGGTCTCGGGCTGATCCCGGTGTTCTTGGGCCATCGTGTGTCCCGGCCGCAACGTAGTAGTCGAGAGTCCTTAGCCGTGAGCCATCACACGTCGCGACTCCTGAATCTAAAGGGCTTCTTCTGTTGGTTGCAACTGGAGAGTTGTGCTGGGCACATCCCTTCCCAATATTCCCTGTAAGTTGATCCATCTCCATTGGGTGCTCCACTTTATTGTTTGTTCAAATTGGAGTATTTCCATTTTCCTCAGCTTACCATCCCCGGTCCGGCGACCTTGCCTTTCGGGTCCTAGCGTCGCCGGGCGCGGATCAGGAATAACGTGCTACCGCTCAGACCCGGTCCGGCGCCGACGAGGGCCCACTGTGGACGGGGGACGGCGGAGTCCCGATGAAGCGGCCATGGGGTATCATAGATACGGAGTTAGCTATTCGCTGGTTTGCATTCCAACAACGGGAAGCCACCATCTCTTGTCAAGAACGCTCCAGCCGAGTGCTCTCTCAGATCTCATACTTGTCATTGACGCAAACAGCAAAATGCAGGCAAGGGTGCAAGTACACTCGTGCCTAAACGCTCCCACCGCTTCAGTCTAGCCACTCGATATGTATAGTCGCCCGGACACGTGAAAACACCGAAGACCGCGTCGGAATATGAATATCGCGAAGGAGCCGTTCCCACCGGCACATTGTCTCGGTATTGAGTGGATATCTCATCTCAGTCAGCACAAGCGTCCGGCCACGTGTTCACGCAAGAAGGAGATAAGATGTGATCTGGCGGAAAAATGGATTCGGCGAGGTGAAACAGGGAGTTGAAAACACGCAGATGAAATTGTGGATTGGGGTGCTGAATTAGACTTTTGCGTACTGAGTCAAGCCGCTGAGGCTGGTTGGTGCATGTTGGCGCCGGCATCGACGGGGGAGCGATTGCGATTGCGATAATCCGGCGTGATATTAGTCTGGTCGAGAATTGAGGGCGATTGAAGGCACAATGATCAGAAAATCTCAACATCAATGTCGTTTCGTTTGATCAAGGGTCTACGGGCGGGGAGATCCAAGATCCACGTCTCCAACAGGTACAGCCAATGGCCCAGTTGGTCTAGCTGGTCCAGTTGGTCCAGGTGCAGCTCTCAGGTGGCCCGGTGGAGCATCAGCCTCAATGGCGCCACAATAGCTCAACAGGACCACTCCCTTGGCCCGTGCACAAGGATGGGGCGGTGCAATTCCCAGGCTGCGAGAAATTCCATTCAGCGAGCGAAGGGGCCAAAACTTACCCAAGCAGGCCTTCGGGGAGATACCTAACGGAATACCTGACGAGCAAAGGGCACACGACAGCTGAGCGTCAATCCTTTACGACAATCTGCCCTTCGAACACTTCGTCCCCATCGGCAGGACTGGACCATCGTCTACGGCACTGGAGAGCCATTCGAACCGCCCCCTTGGCCTGCCCTGCACACTGGGTCCCCCAAAGCACACCTAAACCATTTCAGCGCACCTCCCAGCTGCCACCAGCTCCCTCGCCCGATCGCCGAGATAGGGAGAAGGACGAGCAAAAAAAGGTCGACATCACGACCGAGCGTCACCAGCCTTACCACGCGGAGCAAACTCCCAACACCCGCCGGCTTCTATCCCATCACTTTTCCATCAGGTGCTCATTCGCGCGCCGTCAACTAGTCTCAAGCGGTTCACCTGCGACGACCGGTTGACCTAGCCTCCCCGTTTCTGGTCAATCCCTTAGCCAGCCTTACCCTTTTTTACCTCCATTGACGACAACCCCACGATACCCCTCTAACCTTTCGATATAATGTCATCCGCAGCAGGAGGCTTGACTCGACGCCGCGGCGGCGGTGGAGGCGGCGCAGCTGCCGAGGGCGGCGAGACCAGCAACGGCGCCAGCCGGACCAACTCGACGAGCAACTTCAAGGACAGCGCCCCCGAGACGAGCTACGAGAGCGGCGAGAATGGCCACAAGATTGCCTTTGACCCCCGCGACATCAGCGAGAGCGCCGAGCGCAGCAAACAGCCAAAGCTGACTCTGATGGAGGAGGTTCTGCTGCTTGGGCTGAAGGACAAGCAGGTTCGTCGGCAACAAGCTCTGGCATCACGATCCAATCGAATCCTCGTCGCTAATTAACTTTTTTCCCACTCTGCAGGGTTACCTATCATTCTGGAACGACAACATCTCATATGCCCTGCGAGGATGCATCGTCATCGAGCTCGCGTTCCGCGGTCGCATCAGCATGCAGAAGGATGCCTCGAGAAGGCGCTTCCCGCTGGCTGACCGCGTCATCGAAGTTATCGACGAAACCCTGACCGGCGAGGTGTTGCTCGACGAGGCATTGAAGATGATGAAGCAGAGCGAGAAGATGAGCGTGAGCTCCTGGATCGACCTCATGAGCGGTAATGCCCCCCTTCCTCCCTGGAAACAAGCACCACGCTGTCCACTTGGCCACAGAGCTAGGAGCTGACGGTGATGCCCACAACAGGAGAGACCTGGAACCTGATGAAGATCGGATACCAATTAAAACAGGTGCGCGAGCGTTTGGCCAAGGGACTCGTCGACAAGGGCATCCTCCGCACCGAGAAGCGCAACTTCTTGCTCTTCGATATGGCGACCCACCCCGTCGCCGACGGAGGTGCCAAGGAGGAGATTCGCCGCCGTGTCCGCAACGTCTTGACCCAGCGCACCGTAGTCCTCCCGGCATCCCAATTCCTGCCCGAGAACCTCGAGTTCCGCTACGTCCGCACCATCGCCATGGTCTGCGCTGCCTACGCGGCCAACGTGCTGGAGAACGCCCTCAGCACTCTCGGCCACGAGGCTCGCGAGCGTGCTTTTGCCCAGACGGACGAGCTCCTCGCCGACTACAGCCAGTGGCCATTCGGAAAGAAGGCGACCGGTAACGGCATCGGTGCCAACCTGCCCCAGGTTATTCAGGAGGTGCGTCACGCACACAATTGCCGCTGTAACCCGAGCTAACAATTCGCAGGAGGTCAGCAAGGGCAAGGACAAGGAACTGCAACTAGAGGTTGTTGCCGCTTGCTTGAGCGTCTTCACCCGCCTCGACTCCCTCCTGTAAACTAATTGATCGACTCGAACAACGAGCGCTCTGCTGCCAGGCCGCCCCAAGGCCTGCAGCAGCTAGCTGGGCGCAAGCTCGGGCATCTCCTTTCCAATCCTATTTGCACCTAGA